TGAGCGGCGGGAGCTTTGCGGGGCCTGGCCCGGCCGCGGGGGGTCCTGGGGACCGCGCGGGGAAGAGACGACCTGGGTTTGAGAAGTGAGTGTCTCGGTGCTGCGCGGCGGGGTCTGGGGCCGGTTTCGGGGTGACCGAGCGGCGGGAGGTCTGTCAGAGTCTGGGGTGCGGGTTCTGCGGGCTGGGGCTGTGTCCCCTCCCCTGGGAGGGTCCGAGGTCGCGGGGCGGCACTGGGCGAACGCCGCGGAAGGAGGATTCGGGAGAAAGGGTTCGGAGCCCGCCGCGCTCGGCCTCTCACGGCCGCCCTCAGTTTGCTCCCCGTGAAATGGGAGCCGGGCGCGGGGAGTGGGGGCCCGGTTCTACGTGCTGCACGACTGTCATCGGCCAAGAACCGCCCCTGCACACACACTCACACACACACACACACTCACACACACACACTCACACACACACACACACACACACACACACACTCACACACACTTCATCCTCTCTTTCAGCCGCATGAAGACGCCAGGGCCTCCCCCATGGAGTTCCTAACCACCCCGCAGCCCTCCTCAGGGCCTCCAGCCATGGATTTGGGGGAGCCCAGGGACTCCCTCGTGCCCTCTGAGACCCGCAGCCCTGACAACAGCCGGTGGAACCCTCAGCCTGGAAGCCCTGGCCTGAGTCAAATGGACCTGGACCCGTCAGGCGTTCAGGATCTGGTAGGACAGTTGGAAAATCTGCCAGGAGATCTGGTGGGCCTAGCCCCTGATGGAGCCCCCTGCCCGCTGCACATTGCCACCGGACACGGCTTGGCCTCCCAGGACAAGGAGGATGCCCACGGGCTCTTGTCAGCAGAGGCTGGCCGGGAGGACCTGCTGGACCTCCTGCAGTGTGAAGCTGGCTCTTCTTCCCAGCCTGGTCCTCTGGAGCCCCCCCAGCCGGCCCCTCGCCTGCTGCAGCCTCCTGGGGATCCCGATGGGGAACCTGGTCCCCCAGAGTGGACAGAACAAGAGGACAGCAGAAGTTCAAGCAGCTCCCCAGAGCTCTGGCTGGAGACAGTGCCTCTGGTCACGCCTGAAGAGCCACCTGCTGCCAGTGCCCAGGTAGTGTCTGGGTATTTCTCCAGCAGGTGCCTCGGAGGTCTGGAGCTAAACAGGGGGACTGAAGTCTGCCGTTCTCTCTCTTCTTCCAGAGCCCTGAGACCCTGGCCTCGTGCCCTGCCCTCCAGGAGGGTGAGTGTCCTCACATTCCAACCCCAGACTCCATCCCAGGGCATGAGGGTTTCCAGGCACCAGAACCATACTCTCAGAGTTGGCACAAAGTTTGCCAATAACAATGAGGGCTAGGCTGGGTGACAGTGGCTCACACTTGCAATCCCAGCTTCTCAGGAGCCTGAGATCTGAGGATTGTGGTTTGAAGCCAGCCTTGGAAGGAAAGTCCAGTGCGACTCTTTATGTCCAATTAACCACCAGAAAATGGGAAGTGGCACTGTGGCTTAAAGTGGTAGAGCATTAGCTTTGAAGGAAAAAGCTCAGAAACAGCACCCAGGCTATGAGTTCAAGCCCCATGAACAACAAAAAAGAAAAACAAATGAGGTCTAGAAGCCCCTTCAAGTGGTTTTCAGAAGATGGGTGATGGCGAGGAAGAGCCTGAGTACTCATATTGAACCACAGTGAGCACTGAGTAGTAGAGCAAGTATGGCCACTGGCAGCACTCGATTCTAGATTAAAGGTTAGCACATGACCATCTGCTGGCTGAGACCAGCCTTGGTCTGTTCTGCTAGATCTCATGAGCTAACAGTGGCTTGTTTTTGATGGTATTGGGGTTTGAACTTAAGGCTCCACATTAGCTGGGAAGGTGCTCTGCCACTGAGCCATACCTCTAGCCTGACTTTTGCCCTTTTTTATATGGTTGGAAAACATTAACGTTGACATGTGGATCTGGATCCGCAGTGGACTTTTTACCCACAGTGGGCACTGCGGGGGGGGGGGGGGGGGGGGAGGAGGGGGCAGGGGAATCCTGGGGGGAACAGGGCCGATTGGCTCAAGACTTAACAGCCAGGAACCAAGCCACATGGGTGGTTCTGGAACAGTGGGCAGAAACCCCAGGATCGACAGGACTGACTATGGCTTCCAAGGCTGACTCTCTCTCCCCACCACTGCCCTCAGTCCCTGGGCCCTGTGACCATGAGGACCTCATGGACGGCGTCATCTTTGGTGCCAAATACTTGGGCTCCACCCAGCTGGTGTCGGAGTGGAACCCATCCCCCAGCATGCGCATGGCGCAGGCACAGGAGGCCGTGGACCGCGTCAAGGTGAGGGGGGGAGGGCGGTGCTGGTGGGGAGCCCTGGGTTGGGCGTGGTAGGGTGTCTGCGGCCTCGACTCCCATGCCTCCCGGCAGGCCCCGGATGGAGAAAGCCAGCCCATGACAGAGGTGGACCTCTTCGTCTCCACCAAGAGGGTCAAGGTCCTCACCGCTGACTCCCAGGTACCCAGCAGCCCGGGGAGGGCAGCAGGGTTGAGAGATGCAGGGTCCAGGGAGGCCCTCAGCCCACTGCGCGTCTCTCCAGGAGGCCATGATGGACCATGCACTACAGACCATCTCCTACATCGCTGACATCGGCCCTGTGCTGGTGCTCATGGCACGGCGGCGGCTGGCACAGAGGCCAGGCTCCCAGGACCGTGCCTGCTGCCTGTACAAGATGATCTGCCATGTCTTCCACTCTGAAGATGTGAGCAACCTCTGTTATTGGCCTGGGCGGGGTGGTGGAATGGGGAGCCGGGGGTGAAGCATGATCTGGACCCTACTACTTCCAAACCTTCTGGTCACATCTAGATCCTGACAGCCACTCTAAGTCCCCTGCAGTCAGGGCCAAGGTATCTCCTCCTTTGGAGGACTGTGTAAGTTGGGGCTCTGAAGTGTGTGTAGGAGTCTGTTCACAAGTCTTTACCCTTGAATGCCTGGGCTTACTGATCTCTGCCAACTTTGGTTAATGATCAGTAAATCCACACACCAGGGGTATTGGGGGGTTTGAACTTAAGGTTCCACATTAGCTGGGAAGGTGCTCTGCTGCTGAGCAACACCTCTAGCCTGGCTTTTGCCCCCCCCCCTTTTTTTTTTTGGTCAGTCGTGGGGCTTGAACTCTGGGCTTGGGCGCTGTCCCTGCATTCTTCAGCTCAAGGTGAGCGCCACTGACTAGGTCTCCAATTAATTACGGACAGATAGCTCCCCCAAAATCTCCAGTGCAGAAAGCTTGTCTCCTGGAGATCTTAGCCCAAGCAGGGCCAGTGGGGGCTCAGTTCCAGGGACAGCCAAAGGATTGTGTTAGACCTGAAGGGAAGTGTGTGGGTAGCATGGCCCAGGACTTGCCACACCTCCCACAGGCCCAGCTTATTGCCCAGGCCATTGGCCAGGCCTTCTCTGTGGCCTACAGCCAGTTCCTGAAGGAAAGCGGCATTGACCCTAGCCAAGTGGGCACCCGGCTAAGCCAGGGCAGCCCTGGGCCCGGCCACCTGCACAATGGGGACCTGGATCATTTTTCCAACAGCGAGAACTGTAGGGAGGTGAGTGACCTGCCTGCTCCCACCCCCACCCCCACCCCCACCGCCGCCACCAGCCACTGAGCTTCCTGGCTTGTTCCCACCAGGTGTGCATCGAGAAGCTCCGTGGCGAGGGCCTGGGTGTGGCCCTGGTGGAGTCCGGCTGGGGCTCTCTGCTCCCCACAGCCGTCATCGCCAACCTGATGCACGGGGGGCCCGCGGAGCGCTCTGGAGCCCTCAGCATCGGGGACCGCCTCACCGCCATCAACGGGGCCAGCCTGGTAGGGCTGCCCCTGTCTGCCTGCCAGGCTGCCGTGCGGGTGAGTTTTCCCCGCCCCTGGAGACCCCGCATTCCCAGTGTCTGAGGGTAAACTGAGGCCTCAATCAGGCCACTGAGCCCCGTGGTCCCTAGGAGGTGAGGCCACACACGTCAGTGCGGCTCAGCATCGTGCACTGCCCGCCCGTCACCACGGCCATCATCCGGCGGCCACACTCCCGCGAGCAGCTCGGCTTCTGTGTGGAGGACGGCATCGTGAGCGAGCGGGCGGGCGGGCGGGACGCCCGGGAGGCTGAGGGTTGGCAGCTACCCCGGCACCCACTGGGTTCTGAGCACCACGTCCTCCTCCCTCTCCCAGATTTGCAGTCTCCTGCGCGGGGGCATCGCTGAGCGTGGCGGCGTACGCGTGGGCCACCGCATCATCGAGATCAACGGGCAGAGCGTGGTGGCCACACCGCACGAGCGCATCATCCAGCTGCTCACTGAGGCCCACAACGAGGTCCCTCCACCACCACCACCACCCCCCGCCTGCCCAACCCTTCCTCTTCCGTGTCCCCACCCAGCCTTTCCGGCCCTGGCCTCGCTGCGGCGTCTAGGCCTCTCCTCTGGCTCCCCCTCTGCATTCTGTCCATCGTTCCCAGTCCTGACCCTGATCGGCACCTGTTCTGATTCTGCCTTCCTCATCCTGGCCCACCTCCCCACGCCCACCCTCCTCTCCTTTCTTGATCTCACCCTCCCACACACACACACACATCTTCGTTCCTGACCCCGGCTTCCCCCACAGGTGCACATCAAGACGATGCCCGCGGCCACCTACCGACTGCTCACAGGCCAGGAGCAGCCCGTGTACCTGTGACCACCCTGCCACCCGCCCTGCACCACCGTGCCTTAATCGTGACTGGCTGCAGCCCCTCCTCAGCCAGCCAGGACCCCAAAAGATTCTTGACTCTATTTTTTTTTAATATTAAAAAAAAATTACAAAGTTTGCTGGGTGCCAGTGGCTCACACCTGTGATCCTAGCTACTCAGGAGTTCAAGATCTGAAGATCGTGGCTCAAAGCCAGCCCCAGCAGGAAAGTCTGTGAAACTCTTATCTCCAATGAACCACCAGAAAACCGGAAGTGGAGCTGTGGCTCAAACTGGCAGAGCTCCAGCCTTGAGCGAAAGAGCCCAGGACAGCGCCCAGGCTCTGAGTTCAAGCCTCATGACTGGGGGAAAAAAAAATTAAAGGTTTATTGAATGGACAAAGTCTCAGTTTGGGGTCTGCAGGTCTGAAAGGAGAAGTGGCCTCTTCTCCCCTTAGCCTCCTCAGAAGCAGCTGGAAACCAGCTCAGTGAGAATCCTCCATCCTCTGCCAGAGGCAAAGTTCAGAGGAAAGCAGGCCCAGCCCAGGGAGGTGTCAGCTGACAGCCCAGGAGGGGTCACAGGTCAGTGGCTGGGCCCCAGTCGTAGCCCTCCTCATCGGAAGACTCCACATCTCGGGCACGGGTGAACTTCCTCCTCAGAGCTTCTCGTTCATATGTCCTGCCAACCCAAAGGGCGTTAGAGAGGCCATGGTGGAGGGCGTGAGCTTCCCTACCATTCCCAGGGCTAATGCTAGGCACGTCAATGTGAACTGGGATGAGAGAAACAGTAGGGCCTGTGGACACACTCCTATGCATCCTTCTAAGCCCAGCTTCAATGTCTGTTCCTTCAACAAGCCTTCACAGTTCTCCCACAAAGAGGATCCCTGTCAGACAGCATGAAGCCATAGGCTGGTTCTAGATCTCTCTCTCAGCTGGAGTTTGAGTCTAGGGGAAGGGGTTGAGCCCCCCCCCCAGGTCCACATCACCATGGGGAACCTGAGGGCTCTTACCGCATGCTATCCTGGCGCCATTGGGCCTGGGGGTGGCGGCTGTCCACCTGGAGGGACAAGGTTTACGCTAGCCCCAGAGCCGTGAGTAACCCAGGCGGTGCAAGGAAGGTATACAACCCGGGTCAGCCCCATGTAGACCCTCCTTCCGGAGAGACCATCCCCTCACGCCCACCCCAGTGAGAAACCTGCCCACCTGGGTCTCCCGCTGAGCTGGGATTCTCCCATGATCCCTTGGGCCCGGGGACTCCTCCACTCGCACTGGTTCTGAGGACCGAGCCAGGGCAGGGGCTGGGGGTCCCTCGTCCACGTCGGTGTGGGGTCCGCCCTCGCCGTCCGTGTAGACACCGCCCTCGCCGTCCGTCTCTTCGTAGTCACTGTTGGCCCGACTGTCACAGCTGAGGTCTGCGTTGCTGTCCGCAAGGTCGCGGCGGGGCAGGTCAAGGTTGTCCTCCAAGGAGCCATCCAGCTGCGGGCAGGCACGGGCGCTATGGTCAGCTCAGGCTGAGCTGAGAACCGCCACCCCCTCAAACCCTGGTCCAGGATGCCATCTTCAAAACTGCAATCCTGCTGGGCGCCAGTGGCTCACGCCTATAATCCTAGCTACTCAGGAGGCTGGGAGATCTGAGAGTCACATTCAAAGCCAGCCAGCAAGGGAAGTCTGTGAGACTCTCATCTCTAATGAGCCAACAGAACACCAGAAGTGGCACTGTGACTCAAGTGGCAGAGTGCTCGCCTTGAACTGAAGAGCTGAGGGACAGCGCCCAGGCCCAGAGTTCCAGCCCCAGCACCAACAACAAAAAAACAAAAAATTGCAATCCTGACCTGATCCTAGACTGAGCCTTGAGTATGTGCTTAATTAACCTTTGGTCCTGGGATTGTCTGACCATCACCCTAGATTGGACACTGCCAAGGCCCAAGTCCCCAAGTCCGCACCAGTGGCTCACACCTGTCATCCTAGCTACTCAGGAGGCTGAGATCTGAGGATCATGATTCAAAGCCAGCCTGGGCAGCAAAGTCTGTAAGACCCTCATAACAAATACACCCCCAAAAACCCAGAGGTGGAACTTGGCTCGAGTGGTAGAGCGCTAGCTCTTAAGCACAAAAGATCAGGGACAGTGCTTAGGCCCTGAGTTCAAGCCCCAGCACATCCCCCCCCCACACACACAGACACAGAAAGACAAACCCCAATCTCAGCTGCACCCCAGTCCCTACCTCCAGTCTTGAAACAACACTGGATTCCTTAACCTGAGTCCCAAGGTAATCTTGCCACACCCCCACCCCCACCCCGCCTTCCTCTGACCCTCCATGGCACCCCAAGATCTGTGGGGCCCCTGTGCCCAGCACCTACCTGGTCCTCAGCCGTCCAGATGGGCCGCGTCTGCTGTTCCCTGATGACAGCTTTGACCTCCTGGTACCAGGCGTCGCTGGTGCCATGCAGGGGGACAGTGGCTGTGGGGGAAGAGGACATCAGCCCAGCCCAAGCCTCGCCCTGGACTCCCCCACCCCAGGGCCCTTCCCCGGCTCCCCCCAACCTGTGAAGAGATGGCCGCTGTGCTTCTGCAGCTTCTGCGCCTGCCCATAGAGGCGGCGGGCACTGCGGCGGGAGGCGGGCGCCAGCCACTCCCGCAGCGCCTTGAGGGCCGAGCGGCTCTCGGGCCTGCAGAAGATGACGATGGGGTAGTACTGCACGTAATTGAGACGCTCGATGGCTGACGGGGTCACATCCAGGAGTGCGTGCTTGTCCTGGGCGGGGCCCACGTGAGTGGAGGAGAGGGGAGTAGAGACAGAAAAGAAGAAAGAAGAGTACACCCAAGACACAAAGCAGTCCAGACAGCAGAATGGGGAGCCAGAGAAAGGCAGGGCGGGAGTGAGGGGGTGGGACGGGGGGGATGGAAAGATGAAGATTCTGAGGTCAGAGTGGACCCCAGAAGCTCCCATCCAGATGCCAATCTGCCCTGGGTCCCCTCCACACTTCACAAAGGAGGGGGCAGGGGAGAGAAAAGACCATGTGGTTGGATGCCTGGGCCTCAGTTTCCCCTTCGTGCGCAGGGCTGCACTTACTTTCTCTGCGATCACGCGCACTGTGTCCAGTTTGATGATCTTGGATGGGCTGTCTGTCCTCAGCACGCTCTCTGTGGAAGGGAAGGTGACTCACGCCTCACACTCACCTCTAACCTGGCTTCCCCCCCTCCCCCGCCCGCCTCCCCAGCTCAAGAACCCATCATGGCTCCCGTCATCCTGGAGGGAAGTTGGAGCAGCAGCAAGAGTTCATGCTAGCTGCAACCCAGCATTGGGTTCAGGGCAAAGGGGCTGGCACTGGCCCCAGTTGGCAGATAGAGGCTCTGAACCACAGAGCTAAAAGGCAGCTTCCCACACCAAAACACTCCATTCCCCGCAGGAGAGTTCAGAGTGCTCCAGGCCTGCCTGCCCCTGCTATCTAGGGCCTTAATCTACGTGTGTGTGTGTGTGTGTGTGTGTGTGTGTGTGTGTGTGTGTGTGTGCACTGGCCCTGGGGCTTGAACTCAGGGCCTAGGTACTGTCCCTGAGTTCATTTTGTTCAAGGCTATTGCTCCACCATTTGAGCTATACCTCCACTTCTTTTTTTTCTCCCCCTGGTTCATTGGAAATAAGGCTCTCACAGATTTCCTCCGCAGGCTGGCTTCACACTGTGATCCTCAGATCTCAGCCTCTGTAACAGCACCTGTACCCCTTGAGACCTGGTTTGGTTTTTTGGGGGTTTTGTGTGTGTGTGTGTGTTTGTTTTTGTCGTCGGTCATGGGGCTTGAACTCTAGGCCTGGGGGTGTCCCTCAGCTCCAGCTCAAGGTGAGTGCTCTACCACTTGAGCTACAGCACCACTTCTGGTTTTCTTTTTTTTTTTTTCTTTTTTTTTTTAGGTCCAGTCGTGGGGCCTGAACTCTGGGCCTGGATGCTGTCCCTCAGCTCTTCAGCTCAAGGTTAGCACTCTACCACTTGAGCCACAGTGCCACTTCCGGCTTTTTTCTTTTTGCTTATGGGGCGCTGAGGAATTGAACCCAGGGCCTCGAGCATGCAAGGCAAGCGCTCTACCACTGAGCCACCTTCCCAGCTCCCCACTTCTGGTTTTCTGGTGGTGAATTGGAGATAAGAGTCTCTCCGGGACTTTCCTGCCTGGGCTGGCTTTAAACCGTGATCCTCAGCTTCCTGAGTAGCTAGGATTCCAGGCATGAGTCACCAGCACACAGCTGTTTTTTCTTTGTTTGGTTGGTTTTTGGTTTTTACCTGCAATTTCAAACTGGTCAGGCATCTCCACTGTCAACTTCTGCATGGCAATGTCAGCTACAGGTCCCAGGATCACTACTGGGCGTTTGAAGCTGGCTGAGGAACAGAGACAAAGACAAAAATTGGAATCCTGTATTTAGCAGAGACTCCTAATGTCTTGGGTGCTTGACTCCTCTGTCCACATCCTCTATATTAAACTGCCTGATGAGAAAAACTATATCTCCCGCTGGGTGCCGGTGGTTCACACCTGTCATCCAAGCTACTCAGGAGGCTGAGATCTGAAGATCGCAGTTTGAAGCCAGCCCTGGCAGGAAAGCACATGAGACTGTGGCTCAAGCAGCAGAGGGCTGGCCTTGAGCAAAGAAATTCAGGGAGCCAGGTGCCAGTGGCTCACACCTATAATCCTAGCTACTACTCAGGAGGCTGAAATCTGAGGATCACGGTTCAAAGCCAGCCTGGACAGAAATCTCCAGTTAACCACTCAAAAACTGGAAGTGGCGCTGTGGCTTAACGTAGTAGAATGCTAGCCTTAATCATAAAGAGGCTCTAGGACAGTGTCCAGGCCCTGAGTTCATGCCCCAGGACAGACAACAAAGGAATCCAGCCATCACCAGATGACTAACACCAGGATTCGCAGACCCTGGCCCTGCCCTACAGCTTTAGACAGACAAGGAAACCTTTCCTCTGTGTTGTGCACAGGCACACAGTCATTCTGGGAATATTTTCCATTCACAGTCTGTTAATACTTAATAGATATAATAATATATATACTTAATAAGCTTTGCATTCTAGAAATAGGACAGATGTTCAACAACTCTTCTTGGCCCCCTCAATAACTACAAGCAAGTCTTTCAAGGCAGGACGCTGTGAAGATGTCAGCTTGAGGGCAATGTTGGGGACTCCCACCCAGCCTGGCTCCCACCCAGCCCGGCTCCCACCCCGGGCCCAGCCCAGCCCACCTTCTCTCAGCACCACACGCTCATAGGGTGGGTAGTGGCCCTGTTTGGTCAGCACCGACAGGTCCTCACGGCTCTGCTGGGTGGTCTTCTTGGCCCCCCGCCGAAGTCCCCGAAGCCTCCAGAACTCAGCTCTGGCATTCAAACCCGAAGATGATCCAGGCCCCAAGCCTGCAGCCCGCTGAGCGGCTTCCAGGCTGGCCAGCTGCTCAGCCCTGGGAAGAAGAGGGTGAGAGATAGCCAACCAGATGGCACAAAACCACCCCAAAGATAAACACATGGGCCGGGCACCGGTGGCTCATGCTGTCATTCTAGCTACTCAGGAGGCTGACATCTGACAATTGCAGTTCAAAGCCAGAAGTGAGTCTGTGGCTCAAGTGGTAAAACACCAGCCATGAGTGGCAAAGCTCAGAGATAGCACACAGGCCCTAAATTAAGTCCTGGAGCAGTAAAAAAAGGAAAAAGAGAAGAGAAAAAAAAAAAGATATGAAGCTGGGTGCTGGTGGCACAAGCCTGTCTCCCTAGCTACTCAGGAGGCTGAGATCTAAGGATCAAGATTCAAAGCTAGCCCAGGCAGGAAAGTCCATGAGACTCTTCAATAAACCACCAGAAAACTGGAAGTGGTACTGTGGCTCAAGTGGTAGAGAACTCGCCTTGAGCTGAAGAACTCAGGGACAGCGCCCAGGCCCTGAATTCAACCCCCACCCCCAAAAAAAAGATGTGGAAATGCTAATCCTCAGGGTCACATCCCAGGCCAAAGAGGACACAGCAGGTGAGAGCTGTTGAAGGACTCAGGGCTAGAATCATTCGAGGTCATCCAAGGCCCAGCATCTGCACAGGGTTGGCCCACCTGCTCTGGTTGGGAATGATGCCTCTCTCCTGCTCCCGGAGGTCGCGGCCCATGCGTGCAGCCAGCCAGTAGCCTCCTCTGCTGTGCCTCTGCCCAGCGCCCGGGTACAACGTGTCCACCACGTGGAAGACATCGCCACGGGTGAAGCCCAGGCCGGAGGGCGGGCTAGCCTCCAGCTCGAAATGCGTGCGGATGTAGAAGGAATCGCCCACGCGGGACTGCACCATCTTTTTGAAGACTGGGAACAGAAGGGGCGTGGTTGACCCTCCGTCCCCACCCAGGATCCAGTCCTCCCCTCCCACGGGACGCAGCCCTAACACAGACACATACGCAGGCTCAAGCTTGGGCCACAGGCCCTACCCTGCACTCATCCCGGGGCTGCCACCTGCAGTGACACACGCACACACGCACGCACGCACTCACGCACACACATACACACACGGGGACCCCTTCACACTCACTGTCCTGCTTCCGTTGGGTCACGAGTTCCATGTCCTCTCCTGCAGGCAGTCCCATCAGGAACTGCACGGCCTCCTCTCGGGTCAGGTTCCGGAAGGGCGTGTCATTCACCTACCAGGACAGGGACCAGATGAGGGGTCCACTCTGGTGCCATCCACTGCACCCCAGACTCTAAGGACACCTGGGCCAGGCACTGGTGGCTCACGCCTGTCATCCTAGCTACTCAGGAGGCTGAGATCTGAGGATGGAGGCTCAAAGTCAGCCCCGGGAAGAAAAGTCTGTGAGACTCTTATCTCCAGTCAGCCACCAAAAAGCCAGAATTGTGGAGCTGTGGCTTAAGGGATAGAGCTCCAGCCTTGGGTGAAAAAGCTAGGGGACAGTGCTCAGGCCCCAAGTTCAAGCCCTGGTACCAGTGCACATGCATGTGCACACACACACACAAAATCTCAGATTCTCAGCTCTGATGCCAGTGAATGGTAGCAGCAAGAGCAGTTGGAGCAGGGACTAGAAGAAGGGTGGGGAAGAACGGAGGCAGAGGGAGCGGATGAGGAAGCGGGTTGGATCACAGCGGAGTTGTGGCCAGAGTGAAGCCGTGGTCAGGCCCCTGCAAGGACATGGACACAGGGTGACGCCGAAAAGGACAAAACGGAGTGGTGGGAAGAACATGGAGCCAGTCAGGACACCGGTGCGCTGTGCGCGGGACGCGATCACATGGCTGGGACATTCATGACAAGACCAGGACACGAGCAAGGCTCATGATCAGGACAGAAGGGGATAACGGGATGACAAGGTCATGACAAGGACAAGATGGTGACACAAATGGGAGATAAACCATTAAATAAATGTCCTCTGAGGGTCAGAATCTCCAGAGTAACCCACAGGGCATACACACAATTCAGTGTAGCCACGAGCAGGACCTGTCACCCACCCCCACACACAAGGACACACACACACACACACACACACACACATCCCCAGTCACCTGCAGTATCTCGTCTCCCTCCTGGATGCCCTGGCCGTCAGCTGGGCTGCCCGCCTGTACCCCGGACACGAAGATGCCCACATCATTACCACCAGCCAGCCGCAGCCCAATGTGCATGCCCTTAGGAAAGCGGACAACCCGTGTGTCAGGGCTGTACCTGTGGGTACAAGGGAACAGGTCAGGCCAGGGAACGGGGAGATGGGGGGGCAGGGGTTGTGCTAGGCCCAGAAGCCTTGGAGAGCCCTTGCCAACAGTCTGGGCCTCAGTTTCCCAATTTGTCCATATGGCGGTTGCTCCCACTTGGGAAGATAGGGTTATGGAAAGGGGGAAGGCAGACCCAGGATATGGGCGGGGCGTCTCAGGCAGTTTCTAGAGTACACACCCACGATCCTCCAAGCTCTGACGGCTGGGCACCCTGTAAATGTCATAGTTGCTTTCTCTGGGTGAGTCTGGAAAGAAAAAGAAAATCCAGTTTCTTCCCCCAAAGCTGCCTTGGCTTTAGGAGGTCCTACCCCTCTCCTCTTACTTCCTCCAGCGCTGCCTGTAACAGCTTTGCTAGCAGGCATCAGAAAAGCCAGAGGCACAGAGCTCGGCATCACTACCCACCTCCCTGCTGCTCACCTGGTTCTGAGATAGTCCTGGAATCCACTGACCTCTCCCGCCGAAACTGGGGGCTCTCACTGAAGGAGACAGGGTCAGGGTGAGACAGGAGCAAATGTCAATGGGCATTTTGCTGTTCTTGGTTTTCTTACATTATTGTTTCTTGTCTTTTTATTTATTTTTATTTTTGTTGGTCGTGGGACTTGAACTCAGGGTCTGGGCGCTGTCCCTGAGCTCTTTTGCTCAAGGCTAGTGCTCTACCACTTCAAGCCACAACACCATTTCGGATTTTCTGGTGGTTCACTGGTGATAAAAGAGGTTCATGGACTTTCCTTCCCTGGCTGCCTTTGAACCACGATCCTCAGATCTCAGCCTCCTGAATAGCTAGGATTACAGGTGTGAGCCATTGGCACCCAGCTTCTTTTTCTTTATTTGAGTCAGGGTCTCACTAGGTAGCCCAGGTTAGCCTGGAACTCTAGATCCTCCCATCTCTCCATCCCAGGGGTTTGGATAATAGGTGTGTGCCATCACATCCAGATTATTATTTTATTACCAAAAGCTATAAAAGCTGGGCACTAGTGGCTCATGCCTGTAATCCTCAAGAAGCTAAGATCTGTTGGTCAAGGTTCAACACCAGCCTGGGAAGGAAAGTCTAGGAGACTGTTATCTCCAATTAACCAGAAAAAGGTTGGAAGTGGAGCTGTGGCTCAAGTGGTGGAACACCAGCCTTTAATGAAAAAGCTAAGGGATAAACGGGGAGAGAGCAAGGGAAGGAGTGACAATGTCCAAAAGAAATGTACTCTGCCTGGCACTGATGGTAATGTCTGTAATCCTAGCTACTCAGAAGGCCGAGATCTATGGGGCTGAGAAGGTGGCTCAGTGGTAAAGCGCTTGCCTTGCATGCCTGAGGCCCTGGATTTGATTCCTCAGCACCACATAAGCAAAAAGAAAAAAGCCCAAGTGGTACTGTGGCTCAAGTGGTAGAGCGCTAGCCTTGAGCTGAAGAGCTGAGGGACAGTGCCCAGGCCCAGAGTACAGGCCCCACGACCGGACCCAAAAAAAAAAAAAAAGAAGGCCGAGATCTAAGGATTGGGGTTTGAAGCCAGCCAGGGTAGGGAAGTCCGAGAGATTCTTATCTCCAATTAACCACCAGAAAATCGGAAGTGGTGCTATGGCTCAAAGTGGTAGAGAGCTAGCCTTGAGCAAAAAATAGCTCAGGGACAGTGCCCAGGCCCTGAGTTCAAGCCCTAGGACTGACAACAAGAAAAACAAAAAAGTACTCTGTACCTGACTTATGTAACTGTAACCTCTCTGTATATCACCTTTATAACAACAATAAACATTTTAAAAATAAATAAAAGAATGTGAAATACATTTTTAAGCTAAGGGGTATATATATATATATATATATACAGGCTTGATGTGCGGATGCATGCCTGTCATCTCGGCATTCAGGAATCTCTCATCCCCAATCAGCCAGCAAAAACAGACAGGGTGTAGCTCCAATGGTAGAGTATCACCAGCAGTGGACAAGAAAGCTCTCAAGGGCCTGTGTTTAAATCCTGGTGCTGCTCCCGAGGGGAAATGGATGGGAGGGAGGGCAGCGGGGAAGAGCAGAGGCTGTGCTGGAAGCCACGCCCCTGAGTACACCACGCCCCCCCGGCGCACGCCACGCCCCCTCCCGGGTACGCACGCCGGGGAGTGGGCGGGGCTGGCCTGGGCGGTCCTCTGCCTCTGCCCCGGCGGTGGCGGGACGTGGGGTGGTGGCGCCTGCGATGATTCCGAGTTGAGGTCTGAGATGTCTGCAGAGAAGGGACAACGCGTCGGCCACAGCCACGCCGGCCAGCCCGGCCCCGTCTCATGGAGGGCAACATCTAGACCCACCCACCCCAAGCAAAAGGGGCCCCAGTCACTCTGAGTCTCTGAAAGACCGAGCTCCGGAGGCCATCCCCGCCCCTCACCATCCAGAAAGGAGCTGTCACTGTCGCTGACGGCCGGGGGGATGTTCACCAAGAACTGCCCTCGGTCCCTGAGCACCAGCAGGGTCAGCTTCCCCTCCGACTTCTCGATGAGCCGCCGCGTGTCACTCAGCGACAGGTTCTCACTGGACACGCCATTGATCTGCAGGGACAGGGGAGGAAGCGAGCAAGCCGGTGAGTGGGAGGTGGGGGATACTAGACACGGATAGCTTGGTTGGGGTGGGAATAGAAACAGATACTTTTCCTGGGGACAAAAATGAGAACTGGAACTTTGCTGCGGGGTCCACAAAGTTCTAGAAACTGGCAGTTTCCAACCAGGGAAGAGGGCTGCAAACATCTCCTGAGAGGGGATGTTTGTTTAGGGGAGATCTTGAGGGTGACAACAAAAACCACTGTATCTGAAGGAAAGGGGGTGAACACTAAGATCCTGGAAACAGACACAAGGAGGAAGTGGGAGGCTAAGCTCCAGTGGTGGGGGCGTGGCTGAAATTACAAGGACTCCATTCACGTGAAGGTGTGGGAAAGTAGTGGGCGTGGCTACGTAATGGGGCACGGTCATGTAACGGGGCGTGGTCACCTGGTGGGGCGTGGTTACGACTATGGGGCGTGGTTCAAGTGCCAACGCTTGGCTCAAATTACAGGAGGGAGGCGTGTTTAATATGGATTTAGGATGCGGGTGGGCATGGCTGTCGTGAAGGGCGGGGCTGCGGGGAGGGGCGGGGCTAAAGAGGTAGCACACCTGCCTAGCATAAGTCAGGCTCTGAGCTCACCCTCAATAGCAGAAAACAAAAAGGGGGAGGGGAAAAAGGAGGGGGAGGGTAAGAGCTGGGAAGGTGGCTCAGTGGTAGAGTGCTTGCCTTGCATGCATGAGGCCCTGGGTTCCATTCCTCATATGAGCAGAAAAAGCTGGAAGTGGCTCTGTGGTTTAAGTGGTAGAGCGCTAGCCTTGAGCTGAAGAGCTGAGGGACAGCGTCCAGGCCCAGAGTTCAGGCCCCACAACCGACAACCAACAAAAAAAAGGGGGGGCTGGGAATGTGGCTCAGTGGTAGAGTGCTTGCCTAGCATGCATGAAGCCCTGGGTTCAATTCCTCAGTACCACATGAACAGAAGCTGAAAGTGGCGTTGTGGCTCAAGTGGCAGAGCGCTAGCCTTGAACACAGAGAGGCTCAGGGACAGCACCCAGGCCCTGAGTTCAAGTCCCAACACTGGCAAAAAAAGGAAAGAAGTGAAGGTTGGGGGGGGGGTCACAATTCCTAGAATTTAGTAGAAATATATCTCTGAGAAGAACTTGAAATAGACATCAAAGGAGGGGATTAGAAAACTCAAATCCTCAGAAAGGGATTTTAGAAAGGACTTGGTGCCAACTCTGTTCACAGAGGATCCACTTCTGACATTTTCTCTTGAGAGTGTCTTGGGGGAATTCTAGGGGGAGGGACTAGTGTGTGTCCCAAAGCACCAGCAACAGACAAATTCCTCACAGTCCCCACAAACAGGTCACCCCAAGGAGACAATTGGAATAATGAATTAGAAGTATGCTGCAAAGCATACCCTGGGAATCACAAGAAAGACTTCTAAGGATGGAATCTAGTCAGTGAGGCGGGACAGTTCTTCTGAGTCAGGGCCACTAGACCTGGAGAGAGAGGGTCTAGGAATCCACACAGTACTGAGCTGTCTACAGAATTTGAATACCTAGCCAGGCACTGGTAGTTCACGTCCGTAATCCTAGCTACTAAAGAGGCTGAGATCTGAGGATCATGGTTCAAAGCCAGCCTGGTCTTGAAAGTCCATAAGACTCTTTTTTTTTTTTTTTTTTTTGTCGGTCGTGGGGCTTGAACTCTGGTCCTGGGCGCTGTCCCTCAGCTCTTCAGCTCAGGGCGAGCGCTCTACCACTTGAGCTACAGCGCCACTTCCGGTTTTCTGGTGGTTTATTGGAGATAGGAGTCTCACGGTCTCTCCTGCCCGGGCTGGCTTTGAACCGCGATCCTCAGATCTCAGCCTCCTGAGTAGCTAGGATTACAGGCGTGAGCCACCAGCGCCCGGCCTCCATAAGACCCTTATCTCCAATATGCCATTAGAAAATCGGAAGTGGCACTGTGGCTCAAGCGGTAGAGCACTAGCCTTGAGCTGAAGAGTGCAGGGACATCGCCCAAACCCAGAGTTCAAGCCCCATGACTGACAAACAGAATTTATTTGTTTTGTTTTTTTTATTTTGGGTCTGGTCGTGGGCCTGAACTCTGAGTCTGGGCGCTGCCCCTCAGCTCTTCAGCTCAAGGCTAGCACTCTACCACTTGAGCCACAGCACCACTTCTGGCTTTTTTTTTTTTTGCTTATGGGTGCTGAGGAATTGAACCCAGGGCCTCAAGCATGCAAGGCAAGCGCTCTACCACTGAGCCACCTTCCCAGCCCAACAAACAGAATTTAAATACCCAGAAAACCTTGGGGATACTAGAAACCAAAATTTGATCATGGATTCCAACAATTTGGAAGGAAGAGCTATTCTGTACCTAACCATCTCCAAGAACAGGGAAGGAAATGCCCATAACCTGGCTCTGCAACCTCGCTGAGTGACAGGTGGCACTGCCCCGCCCCCTGCTTCAGTTTCACCACTTACAGGACAAGAAGGTCAAGCTCACCTGCAGGATGAGGTCCCCTTCCTGCAGCCCACGGTTCCGCGCTGCAAGGCCTGAATCTGTGATATGCTTGATGTAGATCTGACTGCCCAGCTTCACCCCAAACTCTGTAGGATAAGGAGGGAAACTGAGGTAGGGCTCAAGATCGGCATGGGCTAAAAATGGACCCTCCCAGCCCATCACCTGAATACAGATAGCATCATGGGGGTTATGATTCCTCAACCCCAACAGTGACAAGCCCTGGAGAAAAGGGGTGTGACATCATTGGTGACATCACAAGTCATCCTGAGGCCGACATTGGTGGCCTCTGTCGGGGAGGTCATCACAATGACAGTTCTCAGGATGTGAGTCCTTCTAACTAAAATCAACGATGTGGAAGCCAGCACCAGGGGCTCATGCCTTCAAGTCCTAGCTACTCTGGAGGCTGAGAGCTGGAGGATCATAGTTTGAAGTCAGCCTGGGCAGAGACCTCTGTGAGACTCTTATCTCTAACTAGCAAAAAGCAGTGCTGGAGGCATGACTCAAGTGGTAGAGCACCAGCTATGAGCAAGGAAGCCGAGCAGGAGGACCTCAGTTCAAGCCCCAACACCATCAAAATAAATAAATAAAAGTCATGGTGTGGCCGGGCGCCCGTGGCTCACGCCTGTAATCCTAGCTACTCAGGAGGCTGAGATCTGAGGAACAAGCTTCAAAGCCAGCAGCCTGGGCAGGAAAGTCTGTGAGACTCTTGTCTCCAATTAACCACCAGAAAATCAGAAGTGGCGCTGTGGCTCAAGTGGTAGAGGACTTTTCTTTATCTGAAGAGCTCAGGGACAGCGCCCAGGCCAAGTTCAAGCCCCATGATTGACAATAAAAATTTTTAAACAAATATAGGGCTGGGAATATGGCTTCATAGTAGAATGCTTGCCTAGCATGCATGCGTTTGATTCCTCAGTACCACATAAACAGAAAAAGCTAGAAATGGTGCTGTGACTCAAGTGGTAGAGTGCTAGCCTTGAGCAAAAGAAGGTCAGGAACAGTGTGTAGGCCCTGAATTCAAGCCTTAGGACTGGCAAAAAATTAAATTAAATTAAAATAATAAAATAAAAATACAGCTGAGAGCCATCCTAACTACTCAGGAGGCTGAGATCTGAGGATTGCAGTTCAAAGCTAGCCTGGGCAGGAAAGTTCATGAGAGTCTTATCTCCAATTAACTGTCCGAAAAGGTCTCATGCATGCCAGGCAAGCATGAGACCCTGGGTTCAATTCCTCAGCACCACATAAGCAGAAAAATACAGAAGTGGTGCTATGGCTCAAGTAGTAAAAGTGCTAGCCTTGAGCCAAAGAGATGAGGGACAGCACCTAGGCCCAGAGTTCAGGCCCCATGACAGAAAAAATTTTTTAAAAAAACTAAAAAAAGAAAAAACCAGAAGTGGTGCTGTGGTTCAAAGTGGTAGGGCTCTAGCCTTGAGCAAAAGAGCTCAAGGACAGTGCCCAGACCCTAGGTTCAAACCCTACAACTGTCAAAAAAGAAAAAGAAAGAAAAAATTAATTACTTAATAATTTTCTTTTTAAATACAGAATTAATGGCTGGGAAGGTGGCTCAGTGGTAGAGTGCTTGCCTAGCATGCATGAGGCCCTGGGTTCGATTCCTCAATGCCACATACACAGAGAAGGCCAGAAGAGGTGCTGTGGCTCAAGTGGTAAAGTGCTAGCTTTGAGCAAAAGCAGCTCAGGAGCAGTGCCCAGGCCTGAGTTCAAGTCCCAGGACTGGCAAAAAAAAAAAAAAAAAAACAAGAGTTGCTTCTTCAGACTCCCCAAAATCAGGCATCTCTCAATGAGGATCCTATGGTGATCCTGGTCCCTGCTAGACCCCAGGGGATCCAGGAGGGTCCCCCCCAGAGGGGAGGGGGGCCTTAAGCTTGATACCACCCACAGAATCCCTTCTGCCCTGGGAAGTGAGGTCGCCGCAGGTCCTGGGGAGTCCGATAGAGATCTTTGGGGTCATTCTTTGGTGGAGCACACACAACCAAAGGCCAGACATGGTAGGTCAGCAACAGCAGTTTCCTTTTTGGTGGGTCGGGGGGAACGCCACGCCCCCACCCCTCAGCCACGCTGAGCCCCGCACGCTCACCTTCGCTGCTGCTTCTTTTCACCAGCACCGATGTCACAGGCTTCATGAGCACGTCCTGCCTGGGGAGCCGCTTGTAGCCAGACACCAGGGCCAGCCCGTTGGCCTCCGAGCCGCCACCCGGGCTCCGGCGCCCATGGCTGCCAGCCCGGCTCCGGCGCCCGGCCTTGGGCCGGCGCGATCGCTCGCCCCAGGAGCGCCCCGAGCCACTGGACGAGCCTCCCTCGTAGCCCCGGGCATGCCCGTCCTCCTCGTCCGATTCCTGGTGCCCTGGGCCAGGAAGGCTGGCCTTGGTAGCAGGGAGCTGGACCTGACGGGGCCGCTTGACTGTCTGGGAAGGGGAAGGGGGCAGACTGGGACACCCAGAAACAACACCTTCCACGGGGTGGCACCCAGCGCTGGGAAGGTAGCTCAGTAGAGTGCTTGCCTGGGCCTCGACCTAAGCTGCAAATTGTGCACAAGTGCTGGGGTATGGCTCAGTGGTGAGCACTTTCCTGGCATGCTTAAGGCACTGAGTTCCCCCCCCCCCCACCCCTCCGCAGAAAGTCAGGCGCTGGTGGCTCACACCTGTAATCCCAGACACTCAGGAGGCTAAGATCTGAGGACCATAGTTCAAAGCCAACCCCAACAGAAAAGTCTGTGAGACTCTTCTCTCCAATTACCCACTAAAAAAAGTTGAAAGTAGAGCTGTGGTTCAAGTAGTATAGCACCAGCCTTGAGTGAAAAACAAAAAAGGTTAGGGATAACACCTAAGCCCTGAGTTCAAGCCCCAGGGCCTATATGAAAAAAAAAAAGGGGGGGGGGGCTGGGAAGGTGGCTCAGTGGCTCAGTGGTAGAGTGCTTGCCCCTTATGCCTGAGGCCCTGGGTTCGATTCCTCAGCACCACATACACAGAAAAAGGCGGAAGTGGTGCTGTGCTTCAAGTGGTAGAGGGCTAGCCTTGAGTGAAGAGCTGAAGGACAGCGCCCAGGCCCAGAGTTCAAGCCCCATGACCAAAAACAAAAAAAAAAAAGAGGTTCCACCCAAGAGAGACAGGACAGGGGTCTCGAGACTCTGTGCACCTGGGGTCCTCCCCTACACCCCAGGAATGACTTACGATGTTGGCCAATTTGGAGCAGGTTTTGAGAATCTGAATGGCAAAAGTAGAAGTGACATTTTCCACAGAGACCCCGTTCACCATGACGATGTGGTCCCCAGTTCTGAGGGAGGAGACGGGTCTCAGGGAGGTGGCCCTCACATCCAGTCACCCTAAGCCACCCCTCCCACCCTCCCCCAAAAAAGCCCTCAGAAATTCCAGGTCTATAAAGTCTGTTGTAGTAGTTGTTGATGATGGTTGTTTTCATCAGTCCAGGGGCTTCAACTCAGAGCCTCGACACTGTCTCTGAGCTCTTTTGCTCAAGGCTAGCACTCTACTACTTTGAGCCATGGCTCTACTTCTGGTTTACTGGTAGTTCGTTGGAGCTAAGAGTCTCACAGATGTTTTTCCTGCCCAGGTTGGCTTTGAACCGCGATCCTCCCATCTCAGCCTCCAAAGTAATCCTGGTTTAACTCATAGGGATCTCCAGGTTCACAAACACATTTCTCCGTCCTGCCCTCAATTTTCCCATCTATGAAATGAGGGCAACTTAATCACAAAGAGGGAAGAGTGTTTGTGTGTGTGTGTGTGTGTATGTGTGTTTGTTTTTCTTCCCTTTCTGAAAACATCATCTCCAAATCTGGGTTCAACCAAGTCTGTATCACCTATCAGTCATTTGGGTCCCAGAGCCATTTGAACACAACATTTCCAGGAATCTCCTATCCCCAGGGTCTCAGAACTACGGGCCTCCCCTGCCTGCCAATTAAAAAAAAAAATGTTTCCAGGATTTTTCTGTTCCAGGAGGGCCCTGAGGCCACGATGACCATAGAAGGAAAAACCAGGAAATGCCTTCGGGACATGGCACTCCCCAGACTGGCTCTGCCCGGTTGTCCTTGCCAAAGCTGTGTTGACAGAGCAGCCAGGCGCCAGGCGCTGGCTCCCCAGCCTCGGGCTCGGGTCATGCCAGCCCGCCCTCCCCCAGTGGCCTGGTGGCCTCCAATGGTCCTCACTGGAGTCTGCCCTCCGCAGGGCCTCCTGGTACCACATCGGACACCACCACGGATTGGCTGGACCGGTCCCGGCCTCCGGAGATGGCAATGCCAAAGCCACGGCGGGGGTCCTAAGGGACAAGGAGACAAGAAGGGCTGGGCTGCCTCCCCTCGGCCTGGAGAAAGCTGCCATGGCCCCAGCACCTGAGCAGGGGTGGCTCACCTTGCAGAGCGTGGCTGTGTGCTGCTCCCAGATGGTCAGTGACTCCATGTCAGCCACCTGATGGGGGAACAAAGAAGTGGGTGTCAGAATATACGGGCTCCCGGGAGGGTCCCGCCTAAGGCCTACCTGCTCTCCCCGACCCCCCCCCCCCCCTCCTAGGACCATGTAGACCACCATCTCCTCTCCCTGAAGCAGCCACTAGAGAGCGCCCGTGAGTGCTGGGCCAGGCCCTTCCTCCATGGCTCCCACCTCCCTCAGGGTCAAAGCCCCAGTCCTCCCTGCAACCCCAAGACACCCCCACCCCCCACCCACCCCCACTCCCGCACAAGGCCCCATGTTCCCATGTTCCTCTCTTCCTCCTCCTGCATCTCTGAGTCTCACTCCTTCTGCTCCAGTTCCTCTGGTCTCCTCGCTGCTCCTCCAACACACCAGGCTCCATCCTGCCCCAGGACCTTTGCACAGACTGTGCCTCCACCTCCTTTCAAGGTCTTTGCTTATCTTCCAGGTGAAATCACACCATTCACACTGGCAACATGTCACCTTTGCCTGCCTATGTCCCTTCACAGAATGTGAGACACTTAAACATTCTCTACATTTAAAAAAAATCTATTCAGTGTCCATTCCCTCTGTGAATATCTGCTCCTGGGGAAGAGATACCTGTCTATCTCATTCACAAATAAGTCCTGGTCCTTCGAATGACACCTGGGTCTTATAGACCAGGGGTTCCAAAAATATTTGCTAGATACATGGATGGTGAGTGTGAAGATGGACTGATAAATGGATGGATCAGTGGATGGATGAATGGGTAGATGAATGGGTGGATAGATGGGTGGGTGGATTGATGAGTCAATAGATGGGTAGGTGGATGGATGAGTAGATGGATAGGTGGATGGATGGATGGACAGATGGGTGGCTGGGTAGATGAGTATATGGATGGATGTATGGATGGGTGGATGAGTAGATGGATGAATAGATGGCTGGATGAGTGGATGGATGGATGGGTGGATGGGTAGATGGATAGATAGGTAGATGGATGGATGGGTAGATGGATGGACAGATGGATAGACCAGTGGATAGGTGGATGGATGGATGGGTGAATGGATGGATAAATAGATGAGAGGATGGACAGATGGGTAGATGAGTGAATGGATAGATGGGTGGATGAGTGGATGTATGGATGTGTGGATGGATGGATGGATGGATGGATGGATGGATGGGTGGATGGATGGATGGCTGGATGGATGGCTGGATGAATGGATGGGTGGATGGCTGGCTGGATGGATGGATGGCTGGATGGATGGATGGATGGATGGATGGATGGATGGATGGATGGATGGCTGGATGGCTGGCTGGATGGATGGCTGGATGGCTGGCTGGATGGATGGGTGGATGGCTGGATGGATGGCTGGATGGATGGCTGGATGGATGGATGTGTGGATGGCTGGATGGCTGGATGGCTGGATGGATTTACAAACAAAGCACTTCCTTTACAAACAGAGCGCTTTGTCCAACCTCACTGTCCCCCATGGTAGAACCACTGTATTGTACCATATCATAATTGAGGAAACCAAGGCACAGACGCAGCACTGGCAGGATTGTGAGTTCGAGGCCCACCTGGGCTACACGGTGAAACGGGCAGATTATGAAAGCAGATCCAACCCTCAGGAGACCCGGCCACCGTTGCGAGAAGCAATGAATGACGCGCTAGTGGCCAAGACTGGAACCCTAACTGCTCGGATTCCATCTCCAAAACCATCAGCACACAGCTGTGCTAGAAGTATGGCTCGCATGGCAGAGCACTAGCCAATCAAGTATGAGGCCCCGAGTTCAAACTCTGGTACTGCCCCCCCCCAAAAAAGTAAAAAGAATAACGACATAATATCTACTTTTGCCTACTATAAACACACCCCACTATTCCACACTAGCTATAGGAATAACGCGCTGCACACCCATCCATGGAACTGCTAAAAACCGAGAAAGCAACCATGATACAATATCTACTTCACCTGCCGGGCGCCGGTGGCTCATGCCTGTCATCCTAGCTACTCAGGAGGCTGAGATCTGAGGATCGCAGTTCAAAGCCAACCCAAGCAGGAAAATCTGTGAGACTCTTATCTCCAATAAACCACTTAGAAAACCAGAAGTGGCGCTGTGGCTCAAGCGGTAGAGCGCTCTCCTTGTGCTGAAGAGCTGAGGGACAGCGCCCAAGCCCAGAGTTCAAGCCCTACGACTGACAAAACAACAACAAAAATATCTACTTCACAGGAGAGGACAGGGAGGCCCAAAGAGGTTCAGAAATTCACCCCAGGTCACACAGCAGCCCAGAAGAAAGAACTCCTAGCTCCGTCAAGACTGGCTCTTAACCACCAGCCCCAATGGCTTCTGCTTCTACTCATTGCTTTTCTTATTTCTTTTCTGAGCTTGTTTTTCTCAACCCCCAAGCCCTCTGGCTTTGATGTGATACTTCGCATGATTAAATGCCACTCTGGAATTTTCTTTTTCTTGGCTTTCCTTGAAGAAATCCCGTGTGGCGCGGGGGCGGGGCGGGGACACAGGTGGCCGGGCCTGCCTGGGCTTGTGGCTTGTGTGCCTTTGGCTCCCTCTCTTGTGCCCTGAAGCCTGATCCTGGTCGACTTCAACTCCTCGGTGCCCTCCCAACCTCGGTCCAGGCTGTTCCCTAAGCCTGAGGACACGCCCCCCCATGGGAACACCCCCCCCCAACATCCAGGACTCTGAAGACTCCCTCCCCCCCCCCTTCCATCTAGCTGAGCACCTGACACCATATTGTCCCTTTCTGCTTTATTCATTCATTCTGAATCCTTCTGGGCCCCGATGAACCCAACTCCTATTCATCCGTCACAGCCCTAAGGCCACACAAACTCACCCCCCACACACACTCTCCAGATGTGTATCTCAGAACCCAGCTGGTCTCCCTCATTCCCCTTAGTATGGGGTTGGGGGGCTCTGGGACCCCACGATTGCTCCCCCCTGCGGGGGACTTGGCCCCTGAGAAGGGTCCCAAAGATTCCCTGACTGAGTGGGATCCTCGCTCCCCCACGCGGGCTGGGCCAGGCCAGGTGTGTCCGGAGTCCCCGCCCCTCCCCAGAGCCGGGGCCTGGGCAGGGGAGCCTGGAGGGCGGCGTCCCCGCCCCCTGCACCTGTCACCTGCCCGAGAACGCCCCGCGGGAGCCGCCCCGCACCTCCGGGAACCGGGAACAAAGGCGGGAGGGAGGGGAAGGGGCGCTGGGCCCCGGGGTGGGGGCGGGGCCCTCGATCGGATCTGGGGGGGTTAGAGCTCGGGGTTACCCATCCACTGGTGCAGCCTCAGTTTACCCTTCCTGAGGTCCCCTCCCCCGGGTGGGGGGGGGTTCGGGCCTCGCCACGCCTTAGGTTAAAGGTGCTGCACACAGTAGGTGCTCAGTGCATGCAGGCGGTCCTAGGGCTCAAGGGGGTCCCGCGAGAGCCCAGGGGGGCCCAGGACCTCGGCCTCCTCCTCCCGCCCCGGCCCGTCCTTCCCCTCCCCGACCCTCCCACGAAGCTCCGCCCACCGCCCACCGGGCGGCCGCAGACGACGCAGGATTCGAACCCAGGTCTGCGGAGCAGAGAAGATCAGGATTTGAACCTGGGGGGGGGAACTGAACTGAAGCAGGATTTGAACCCAGGGCTGGAGAAATGAGTAGAAGAAACCCAAGGTAGCCGTGGGAGACACGGACACACCTCGCTGGGCAGCCCCCCCCCCCGGCCAAGTCGTCTCGTGTCCCCCCCTCCCGGGCCTCAGTTTCCCCGCCTTGCAAGAGGGTATTTCAGGGGGTCCTGGGTCGGACCGCCATCCACGTCTCGCCCTCACCCCCTCCCTCCCCCTCGGCCTACTCGCCTGGAATCTCACCGCCATGGTCCACCCCGGGGCTCTAGCCCGCGGGGAGGGGGGGCCTGGAAACCGTCAATCGCCCCGGACCCCGATGAGAGCAGGTAGCTGAGGAGGGTCGTGGCGGGGTGGAGGGTCTCGCCCTCGCCCCTCTGCTGCCCAACCGGCCGCTGTCGGCTGCACCTGCCCGCGTTCCTCCTCCCGGTCGCCCGCCGCCCCGCCCCGCCCCGGCCCCGCCCCCGGGAAGCGGGGAGCGGCCGCCCCGGGCCCTCGGCCTCCGTCCTAGGCTCCGGGTTCCGGGAAATGGGAAAATCCAGTTCGTGTTTTCCAGGCAGCCGAGCCTTTGCCAATGGCCGGGACTGGGGGAGCCGCGCGGCGAGGCTGCCAGGAAGACCCGGACTGGATCGGGCCGCGCGAGGGCCGGAGCCGGGGGCTGGCGAGGTGGGGTTTTGCGGGTCGGGGGCCTGAGTTGTGTTTTGTGTTGTTTTCGTCCTCGGGGAGGCCCCTAAGGACCGGGCCTCCGTGCAGAGCTGGAAGCCTCAGACCCTCGTCGGGTTACCTTAAACCCAACAGACCCATCTCCCCCAGGGGTGGGCTTGGCCGCTCACAGCATTTCAGAGAAGGGAAACTGAGGCCCCGAGTCCAGAGGCTCGGGTCCTGGGCTCCCCAGCCTCAGGGATCCGGGGCACACCCAGCATGGGGCTGGGTACTGGAGGGGCACAGAAGGAGGAGGGAATTCTTGAGTCCCAAAGGGTAAAGGTCAGGCCTCTCTCTGACCCCAGGCCTGGCCCTTAGGGTCTGAGATTCGGGTTGGACTCAGGAAGGATGGCCCCAGAGCGGGCAAGGCGGCCTCGGGAGGGTGCTGGGTGGGCGGGGCTGGCGGTGGCTCCACCCACACATTCCTTCCCGGTCTAAAAATAAAAATAAAAATAAAAAATACCGTGCCCTACCCCACGCCCAAGGTCGAGGAGGCAAATGTGGGCATAAACACCCTTTCTCCCTTTGGTCTAAGGTCAGAACGGGGAACGGCAGTGGTGAAACCCAGGCGAACTTTGGCGAACTTAGGGAAGGGTTCTTGTAAAAGAAGAAGGGCATTTCGGCTGGGGTTTTAAAAGTTGGTTAAGAGTTTGCCAAGTGACGGAGACAGACAGATCTAAATCTTTGAATCGACCTCAGCTCTATCACCTATTTG